GTCCGCGGGCCGTGAGTTTGATATACTTGATATAACGCAATAAGGCAAAGAGAGTCCCCGCAGACAGCAGAACATTATTGGTGTATGTGTGCCTTATTAGGGGCCAGGACGTCTACCGAAACATGGTTGAGGCCCGTGACTTGCTCAAGATGCCTCTACTGAGAGACCCCGGCGCTCCGGCACCCGAACCGAGCTGCCGCATTCTGCAGGACATTCGCAATCGCGCCCCGTGTCCATGGTGCACCACTGTCCAGCGATACTGACAGGTTAGATTTAGATACGATCAGATATGCTAGCCCGAACAAAACGCAGCAGTATTGGTCCCTCAAACCAAGGAGATAGCTGCGTTCCTTTCATCTAGAAAAGGAGCAAACAAAGAATATGCATGGCATGCGTGCGTGGTTCTTGTTTATCTGCTAACTGTGACTCACTCACTGTGTTGTAGGATGATGATTGGATGATTAGTACCAACCCACTCAGGTTGATTGGCCAAGAGTTGGGTGGGTCACATCATGATAATTTTTTTTAGGAAAAAAGAGCACCTTAGGCTTGCACTACGCCTCCGCCGTCGAAGCTCCCTGCGCCAGGCAAGAGCGCCGAGCCAAACAACTGGCGCGCGCTTCCGGCGCTGCGGCAAAGCAGGCAAGGCGGGAGATGGCTCGCGTTGCGCTGCGCGCTCCGCACACTCACTCGTTGTATTGTTTCCATCACTGACCACAGCAAACGCTCTCTCCACCCACTCCCCAGCCTACCGCCTTCATGAAAGCGAGCAGCGAAATAAGGTGCATAGTATAGTTTGCGTCTTACTTCTAAGGAACTTCACTCATCGGTTTTATTAGTACATGGAACACTGCTGAGTTTTAAGACCCCATAGAGGTTATTGTGTCAACCACCTAGACAAGTTTAGTTTACTTTCTTTATTAAAGACGATAGTTTTTCTTAGCATATTTCGACGAAAAAGTTTTGGTCTGTCTGTCTGTCTGTCTGTCTGTCTGTCTGTCTGTCCGTCCGTCTGTGCGTCTGTCCATCTGTCTGTGCGTCCACCCGTCCGTCCGTCCGTCCGTCTGTCTGTCTGTCTGTCTGTCTGTCTGTCTGTCTGTCTGTCTGTCTGTCTGTCTGTCTGTCTGTCTGTCTGTCTGTCTGTCTGTCTACTTGCTTCTCTGTTCACCAAAACAACATTTGAAACATAAAATCCAACCACATCACCAGCACCCACCATCTGACTGTTTCTGTGTTCATACTTGTGTGATTATCAATCAAAACGAAAACATTGAGCATACATGAGGCAAAATATCAACACGTCAATATTCTCTCGTGTGTTTCTTTATACTAGAGAAGGCACACATAAGTAATTATAAGGACCATAGCGTTTATCACGCTGCGCTGACAATGCAACGCTATCCCAGAAAAGGCAAGTGTTTCCTACGCTTTACTAAGATGACACAGTGGTGGCACTTACCCGCCACATTGTATTCCACACATTATGACCTTTGAGACACGTGCGCACGCCGCGCGCTTGCTATATAAGAGGCCATCCTATCCTTTTACCAAAATAACTGCTAGATGGCGCTCATGTCTCACGCTGAGTCAGTTTCTCAATTCCCTCGTTTGCCTCTGCTGCGCGCATTAAGGCACTTTAACGAAGAGCCTCGAAAATCCCATTCACCGATTTTCTGGCACAGAACATCAAGTAAACGTACTGTTCACTCTCTCCACACGTAAAACTATCGTCTTTCGACGACATTTGCAGTGAAACATGCAAATAGACGGGGCCAATTTTTTTCTTAAATCCTTGTTTAGAGATGTACATATTTTAAACAACCTTCATTTAATAACCATCTTCACTTACGTAACCTGAATCAGTGTAAAGGCAGGAGCGTGTTCATATTCATGCTTTTTTTCATTCGTGGATATTTGTCTAAATATTAATTGATTCTCTGAGGAACATTGCAGCGATACAGTGTAAGCACGCTACTCAAGAGAAAGCGGGGTCTTATAGTTTTGTGACATGTGCTCTCCCAGTTATCCTATGAACTATAGTAGCATTACAAAGCCATACGAGAAACACTTGCGCTTATGCAATATATCTACCACTCGGCGTTCCTGACGAAACTGCAACGCCGCTTAAGCTACTGTTATCGTAATAAGCATATTGTATGATTACAACGTTTTAAATGAATCATCACGTTATTATTGCATTTTTAAGATTCCAGCTCAAGATAGCATAAACTAAAAAATGTTGATATTAACGCAGAAATCCTCTCAAAAGAATGCTTTCAGAATGACTGTTTTGTAACGCCTCTAAATATACATTTTGCACTTGCACAAATTGTTAGACTAGCTGTCTAATTAAGATTTTCGTTCCTACATTATCAAGCATAACTTCCGCGGATGGTTCCAATGAAGGTAATCTGTTCACACACACACACACACACACACACGCACGCGCGCACGCGCACGCGCACGCGCGCACGCGCACGCGCACGCGCACGCACACACGCGCACACACACACGCGCACGCGCACGCACACACGCGCACACACACACGCGCACGCACACACGCGCACACACACACGCGCACGCACACACGCGCACACACACACGCGCACACACACACGCGCACACACACACGCGCACACACACACGCGCACACACACACACGCGCACACACACACACGCGCACACACACACACGCGCACACACACACATGTGAATGAAAATCTTGTTTTGAAGTCGTTTATGTGACGCAACGCACCGTAGTGGCTGCCGAGCAATCCAACTCTACCACGTCCTCTGCACGTACTTATTTTTTTCAATGAAGTGCTTACTACAAGTCAATAAGCGAACAAGCATCCATTCAAATCAAGTCAAGTGTACTCACAAGCGCACTTGTTCTTTTTCACTGTGACAGGATTCCACCGACTGAAACCGTTACATCCGTTATCTATCGCGGGGCGAATGCCGTTCCTCAATTAATGAAAACAGTCTGGAATGTTTCCGACTGTTCTAACCAGACAGCGTGCACGTCGCGCCGAGTGGAGTAGTGTACAATCTGGAATGCACGTGGCCTCAAGCAATGGTACAGTCGTCGGTACATTTAGCAAGAACGCGTCAGTGCGTTCACGCTAAGTGTGTTGACGACTGTATACCGTTGCTCGTGGTCGCACTTAGCGCGAACGAATGAGCGCGTTCTCACTAAGCTTACTGACGACCGTACCGTTCACAAACTTACCAGTCATAAATTGTTGGCGCGATCGCACTAAGCATGCACACGGCTGTACCATTGCTTGTCGTCACGTTTAGCGTGAACGCGCGAGCGCGTTAACACTGAGTGCGTGTTTTCAGTGAGCGCCTTTGACGATGGCGGTCGCTGATGCACGCAACAGTGAAAAGACCACGCCTCAAAGGACATTATTAATAATAACTCGTGGTTTTATGTGACAAAACGACGATATAATTATGAGGTACGCCGCAAAGGTTGGTGCGCGATCTGGTGTTCTTTAGTGTACACTGACAAGGTCGCATAGCGTTGAGCCTTCATGGAAATGCGACCACCAGGATCGAGCTAGCGACCTTTGGGCGAGCCGCCAAGTAGCGTAACCACTCTACTAGCGAGATCAAATGAAGTCGGGAAAAGCAGAGAAGCGAAATGGAAGACAGCCTTCTTGTTTACTTCCCTTCGCTACAGGGAGGAAAGAGGAAAAGACAAACATGAAAAGAAAAAACAGAGAAATAAGCAGAGCGCACAAAAGAGACGAAACATTGTGAGCGTAAGGTACGACCGAGAGATATTTAAGTATGATTTAAAAGTTAGGGTAACGCTGAACACTCGTTGAAAAACTTCGGCTTTGATGACCACACAGTCCGCGTCACAAGTTTAGGGATTACGAGATATAAGGAAAAAACTGAATATCCCAGCTGCTTCCGCAGGCAGCCTTGACTTTTGAACGACCAAACAGTGTCAAAAACTGCTACAAAGGCTGTTCTAGACTTTATTAAAAGCACTGGACTAGAAACTAGACTGTAGGGTACTATGCTAAGTGGCTACTGTACATACGCACCGCCTCTTCTTGTCCCCATCATCACCCTTCATCCCTCTTTCTTTCCCCTTTCCCTTATCCCTGTGCAGAGTAGCAGGCTTGAGCGAACTAGCTCAGGCTGACCTCTCTGCCTTCTAATAAATTCTCTCTCTCTCTCTCTTGACTTTTGAATTGCGGCCCTTTCTAAAACGCATCGACAGCATGTGCAGCGCTGTCCGAGGAAACGTAGTCGCCAATTGATGTTAACCATTCTCACATTTCTTGGTGTCCAAACCTTCGACGACGAGATCACATGCCAGCAAACCCGGGTTCAATTGGCTGTTTTCCGAAAAGTCCAGTAGTCGGTACGAGTGAACGTGTACCAGTTAGACGCCAGAATTTTATAGTTTTACTCACACGCCCAGCGGCGAGCTACCGATAAGAAAGTAAACAAAAGGAAGAAGAAAAAGGAATGCGAGGACGACATTGCCCTGTGTGCATTTTTCTCACCTTAGACGCCTCGCGTGTGTGTACAAGCTTTCGACACCGCCATAATGACATCTACTGTGTTCATTCCTAACCTATGATTGCGGCCAAAACCGATTCGTGCTTACGTATTACGTAAAATGTGCTGACGTTCACCAAGAATAACAAAGGAAAATAATGATGAAAATGATTACGAAGAAATGAAAATAAAATAAAATAGAACAAATATTTGAAGTATATGTAATAAGTTCAAGGAGACCATACAAGGGAAAAAATTTAAGGAAGAAGCACAACATACAGAAAAAAGATGAAGAAGAAAACAACTGCTAGTCAGTTTGTTGGCATGCACAAGCTTGAAGTAGTGACAAGACTAATGAAATGTTTCTGTTCATGAATGCTTTTTAGTTTTTGTTTGTTCATCTTGGCACATGTAAATCAACAGCACTTTGGTTCATTTCTGACTGTTTGTATCTCTTTTCTTTCCCTCATTTGCAGCCAAAGTGCGTACGCTGCCCTCTACCAGAACCGGCTAAGATTGGAGACGTTTTCACACTTAGAGGGCAGATATCGCCGTGGGCCGAGAAGTGAGTATATTCATTACGTCACATGTTATCCGCAGTGCATTGACAACGCTGTGCGCACTCCCCACTTTTTTCTTGTAGCGTGTACATATCGTATAAGCTAGCATAGAAAACTTGCCACAAAGAGCAGGTTTTTACAGCGCTGCTGCGAATAAAACGTTTGCTAAATTTCAGAAGCGAGCGATTATGTGGAGTAGTGGCGTCATGGTGTGACTTACTGATATCGCAGAAAAAAAATTTTGTGACCTTGGGATGACATCACACTACGACCTGACCGACTTTGCCGATTGGTCGAGCTTGGAGAGATGCCGGAGGGTGTGTAAAAAAAATAATTTAAGTGGAGCGGTACACCGGTACACCTACAGGGAGCATTTTCTCCTCGTCGCTCGAATGTAGGCGTTACGTTGGCGTGGTTGTGCCTGACAGGTATGGATCAACCGCTCAGTGCGAGAACGCTCGATGGGCAAACAGCCTACAACATGGCCTTTACATAGTAAAATAGCTGCATACGTACATACAAAGAACTTTATTATCAAAGAACTTTAACTTTATTAAGAATAGCTGCAACATTTTTTTGCGAACATGGTACGTGGTGATCGACTTTCTACTCCTTATGTTACAGTGGTGTTGAAAACCAATAAATGACATTTTGATAGCTTGACAGAGCGATAGATTTGAATCGTTGACTAAAAGAAGGTGACGCGCGAAGATAGACAACCTGACAGGAGCTCTCAAAAATCGTGTGGCACAACACTGTACAAGTGCTCTTGCACTACAACCGCTCAAAAACCGGAGTGAAATGCTCGTTTTCTATCGACCACCTGGTTGTCACATTATTCGCATCCCATCGTCTAAACTAAACCTGCTCGCATGACAAAATCATTCCCGCGGCTTCATAAAGTGTGAGGGCCAAGGGACGGCTTTCAGCTCTCCCTTAGTAGAGCACCTAATACTCTAAATCATTAATCACTTTTTCTAAACACACAGATTTTTTTATTTTTGGGGACGGCTTTATGCTCTCCCTTAGTAGAGTACCTAGTACTCTAAATCGATATCCTCTTTTTCTAAACACGCACAGCATCGATGTGCCGAAGCGCAAGTGTCCTATAGACGGTTTTAAAATTGAAAGCTTTGTGTCCCCCCCCCCCCCCAAAAAAAAAAAACTTTCATTCACATCATTCACCAGCTCGTAATGCCGAAACTTAAAAGACGTTTTCATGTTCTTTCAAGGCTAAGGAAAGTCTCTTTTAGTTTTTCAAATAAAATGAACGTGTGTAGCATTCAAGGCCATTTCGTGTTGTTTTATGTAGCACAAAAGAACATTTATTTCAAAATATTTTGCCACATGATACAAAGAAATTGTAGAAAATTAGCGCGCTATTTTGGAACGCTCTTCTTGTCCACCAATGCTATTCAGGCACATCGGTGGACGAAACCGGAAGTCATCAAGGGTCTGTGTCTGTAAACAGTGAAAGGGTCTGTTACTGGAATGTTACGAAAGCTTTGTTTTTTTGTACATAGTGCAAATAAACGTTTTCTAAGCAGCCTGGTTGTGTGAGGAAAGCGCTAGACATGTGACACCTACGGGACGGTTGCATGCTCTCCTACTGTAGAGTAGCAAGTGCTCTTAATCGTTCGCCATTTGTTTTTTCTAAACGAACGTGCATTTGTCAGAATCGCTCTTTTGATTTTTTCCCCGTAGGGCATCGGAAGTTGTAATTTTTAGTACTGTGTCACTCTGGCTGGATCTAGTAGACGCCACGGACGACTTTTCTTAGCCATCAAAAAAAAAAAAAAAACGAGCTACCTTGACGGAGCTTCTGCAGATGTACTCTTACGCAACGGTTTATGACAATGTGCTACTGCATGAAGTAGAGCGGTTTGACAGGCGTCTCGTACCGCTGTGGAAGGTGACGTCTTCGCAAAGTTAGCGTCACATACCGACAGAGTCACCGTTTAGAACTTGAGGTGCACGTAAAAGGCGGAGCTTTGTTACGCTTTAAAAGCACTACGTGACTACAAAGTTGATGACTACGTATTAAGTGAAATAAATAGAGATATCTCACCGCTGTGCGCTGCGTCCGGTCTCAAAGGATTACATGTAGAAAATAAAGGAGTAGTCGGTTCACATCGCCCGCAGACAATGTGTACGTAATTGTGCAACTGCATTCATTGGCGGCAAGATACGCGCGAATATGATTTGTAGCACTCACCTCTTTACCAAAAAAAAAAAAAAAGTTTTCTGCAAGAACCTCGATGAGGGGGTGCACTTCACCGCACTGGACGCGACAGTACGTGCAGGAGAAAACCGACTTGTCTAAGAGTACGCGGACCAGGATTAACTTGCGGAATACAAGGAACTGTTCAAGGTATTCTACATAGCCAAGCGATGCTATCCTCCGCCTCATGGCAACCTATGCACAGCCCATGCAGTTACTGGCAGACAGTTGGAAACTGAAACGTTTCCTAATTGACAGCTACGTCACCGAATCTAGCCTAAGATCTATATCAACTTATGTAAGGTGTGCCAGACAGACACAGCCGTGCTCAAGAATGTGATCTAGGATTGTGGGGCCAAAGCAAGAAGTGTTCCCAAGCCACTTTGCGCTAAAGCTCCCTAGCTTTAGCTCTGCGCAGCTGGCCAAGCTCACCGACCGACTCTGGGCCGTCAAGCAGGTCTGTGGAAACACCGAAGAGGCAAGGCCCTGACGTGCCGACATGGGAGGCCGGAGCCGGGGCCGTTATCCTTCCAGGCAACAGATTCCACCCATCCATACAGCAGACACCATCAAAATTTTGTCATCACGCTTAGTTGGTGCGGGGGCTTTAATGTCGCATCTTCTTATCTTAACTTCTTATCTTCGCGCGTTTACTTTCTTATTAATCATTCCAGCGCTGTTAGCTTGGAGGGGTATCCATCTTCACACAACTTTCGAATCAGTTTTAATGCACGAAGTGTGAGAAAATTCCTCATTAGACTTCTATAATACAGGATCTCACAGAAGCGTATTCTGGTTCCTTGTGGTTCGACAAGAAAAAGGGGGTACCTCAAGATGTCATCTATAAAAGGAAGTCATAAAGTTTCAAGTTATATAATCTTTTCTGCACAAAATATTGGTTTGCGGCTCAATATACCTCTCTCTGTCAAAGACTATTTTGTATTAAGATATACGCTACCAATAAATGTAGCGTATCCACGCCATCCAGGCCCCAAACTTGCCATTTTGAAATGAGCTAGACCAAACAAACATTTATGAAAATTACCTTCTTAAGTTACACGGCGTGTTCGTGCTTTGATTCAAAACTTCGGTCCTTCAGGAATTAATGTAGGAAACGCGTTGCCCTTTTAACCAGAGAAAAGGGTGTGTGTATGTGTGCGTGTGTTTGGAAAAAGTTAACGATTTAGAGTGCGAGGTACTCGACTATGGGAGAGCATCAAGCCGTCCCATGAGCCTCATATTTCATGAAGTGAAAATAGAACTTGACCATGAAAGTTTCAAATGTCAACGCAGTATGAAAAAAAAAGGAATTGCTGCGCCCGTTACACGCCAACGAAGGCTCTTGACCTTTGCTCGCTAGCGTAATGCGAAATGGCACAGTGCTGCTAAACGTGCAACCACCGGAGAGTGTATATATAGCACACGCCAACGAAAGTTCAAAACATCGACGCAAGTTCAAAACTGAAAGAGGTCAGAGACGCTCTTGGCTATGACGCGCGCGTTCCTATAGTGCCTTACGACGGCGTAGTCGCGTGACAAGGCGCCACTTGAGCCTGCCGCTGCACTTGGTCGTTGAGCTCTAGTTGCATCCCCATGTCCACGCTGGCGAGCGAAGTACCCCACCAGTTCTCTTTCGATCATTTTGCCGGCAATTTGCGGTGAGTCGTTTCCATTGGCCTGTTCTGGCAATCCCACGTTATGTGGGCGAGAGTGGGCCGGCTTCCGCAGCACGGAAAGCTATCCTTGTAGGGTTACGGGGTTAATGGCATGTTCAACGAAACGTTGGGATATACGTGTGCTTGTACACGGTGCCAGCATTGAAAATTCCGCCCGGTTAGAGCAGTAGCGTAACGTTCACTATATCTTCCTCGGCTTCCTTGCTCACTGGTTTCATTGAGTTTCTACCAAACACACAGACTAGCTCTCAAAATGCCATTCCTTCGTTCGAATGGTCGAGTGACTGAATTGCGGCATTTGCGGTGATTGAATGGAATCAGTTGGCATAGGGCAGGATGTGTTAGAGATCATTAAAAGAGGCTGTCATGCTGTGGGCAAAAGATAAGCTGGTGATGAAGAGAATGATGATGACGAAACGGGCAGAGTGCACCCGCCACAACTTCAATGGCGATGGCTGCTGACAAAACTAACACACGTATGTAGTCGGCCTAAATATGCAGTTGTATTGTTTCCATTCTACGCTCTCTGAGAAATAGCGCTGAGTGAGAAGTGTCACCGCGCAAACAAGTGTGATTCAAGAATCAACTTTTCTTATTTTAACTCGTATTTCTATGCGTCATTCACCGGCCATCTCCACGTCTTCCCAGTCAAGTTCTGGGTGTGTAAATTGCAGCGATCTTTGAGACAGTGCGTGTTTACCGTGTGTTGTCGGTTCAGCTCAGTCGTTTTGGGTCGCTTGGTAGAAGGCGAATTGCTGTGTCCAGGTTTTGCCGTCTGTATTGGTCTGCCATTTTTAGTGTGGGTTCGGCTGTGCGGATCTAATCTAGAATATTGGCTGCATAGTCGGTCGTGCATGGTGAGTACAACAGTAGGCAACCATGTGTTGTGTTCTACGTGCGCCCGTACAAGCTATGTAATTAGGAATAGCATGATGTGCTTGTTCAGCCTGCTTGACAACCTTATACTGCGTCGATACACAACATCGATTTTGTGTTGTTTTCAGTTCTCTGTCGGTGATTGCATGTCTATTGTATTTTGTTAGGCAACACGCTTGGTCACTTGGCAAGCCTAACGTTCTGCAACTTGTACATACGATGTGTATTGCCGTAGAGGACTATCTCGAACTGAAGGCTGGTCTACGCCAGCGATTAGCTAATTGTGCGACATCTTGGTCGCAGAAGGTCTCAAATGGCAGCTTTGTTCGCAAAGCCGCTGCTTTGTATCAGTGGCTCGTTGCTCGATTCTGAAGTCTTGCTACTGCAGTCGCAAACCTCTAAACCGATCAGATATTTTGTTCAGATGTTTGCGGACAAGACCCCAGCTTATATTACGGGAAAGAATACAGATGCAAAGAGACAGATTTTTTTGGGTGACTCTACTGCGCAGGTAAGAACACCGCGGTCGCGTCGAGTCGCTTCTTGGTCGCCGATCGCAAATGGTCACGCGAGCGGTTCTTGTTGCAGGTGTAAATGAGCGCTAAGGTCGGCGAACTCACTGATGAATCGACTCATTTGGACGCGCTCGCATCGAGTCGCGAGTCCGAGTCTGAGTGAGTCCAGGTGAGTAATAGTTTGGCTAGTTTGAGTCCGAGCGAGTCCGGTTGAAGAAACTCATCTTATGTTACTGCCCGGCATGCACAAACGAGAGACTCCAACTGCGCAGTGTTTTAAATCAACAAAGTATTGGGACCATGGCACTGCCCATCCAATTTCCGAAAGGCAACGAAAGCACTGTTCCATTTTCTCAAAGACGCCAGCCTGTTTCATCGTTTGTGATGGTGAAACTGTTACGCGTCGGCCCAGTCAGTGATCTTCTATCTCCTCCTCTATAACTTTCCTTCCCCTCTCCCCTTCCCCAGTGCAGAATAGCCTACCGGGGCTCAGTCCTGGTTAACCTCCCTGCCTTTCTCCTTGTGTTCTCTCTCTCTCTCTCTCTTCGTGAGTGTGAGTTCGAGCGAGTCCGGCTGTGGAAAAGTTTTGCGAGCATGAGTCCGTGTGGGTGCAAAGCGCAAAAAGTATTTCTTGAGTGAGTCTGAGTGAGTTCCACTTATCCCCCTGACTTAGGCTTAAGACTGATTATAGAGTTTCTAAAGGTTGTGGCTTCTGCGAGTGAAAAAAAAACGTGCACTTTTCTTTCCCTGGTCAGATTTGTTCTGAACCTGGCCACGGGCCCGGGCACGGAGGACGACCTGGCACTGCACCTGAACCCGCGCTTCGGCGAGGGCGCCCTGATACGCAACTGCCGTCGCGGCGGCAAGTGGGGCGACGAGGAGCGAGAGGGCGACTTCCCCCTGGCGCCGGGACGCGCCTTCGAGCTGCGCGTGGACGCCCTCGAAGACGCCTTCCGCGTCACCGTGGACGGCAACACGCTGTGCGACTTCGGACACCGCATGCCACTCAAGAAGGTCAAGTACCTGGTCGCCGAGGGAGACCTGGTCGTCGACGACGTGCGCGTAGAGTCGGACGATGTAAGTGCGAGGTATATCGCCTCGAGGCGTGTGTATATATATGTGCTGTAAAGGAATTTGGATATTTAACTTGAAAGTAGACAGGGATATGTTTTGCGTTTACCAGTGCTTGACTGCTGGTCAGTGTTATTTCCTCAGAGAAGTTGAATGCTGTGCTTCCAATGGTACTTTGTTTAACAATTGAATAATAATGTTGAAGTTATTTCCCTAGAGTTATTGAAAGGTGGAACGAATTACCCGGTAGCATTCGTGAATTGTCGTTGTCGGATTTAGTAAACGCACTGTTATAAATGATGATTGTTTCTTTTGTCTTCGCTATGACTGTTCAACCTTTTAATCAGAGTACTTTATGTATGTAAATGTACCCCACTCCTTCAATAACTCTGTATAGTGGTGCAGTATTTGAAAATAAATAAACAAAAAATAAACGTATACGTAAAACATCCCACGTATTGTAGGAACCAGTATAATGCGAAGCAGTCAGCGAGTGGGACTCCATGCGTCGTTTTTGGCTTTAAGCTAAGCGTTACGAGCTGCTCACCGCGATGGAGCAATGGTTATGACGTTCGGCTGCAGACCCGAGGATCGCTAGTTCGATCCCGGCAACGGAGGTCGAATTTCTTTCGATAGCGGCAAAATTGTGGAGGCCTGTGTATACTGTGCTATGTTTAAGGAACACAAGGTGGTCAAATTTTGAGTAGCCCTCCACTGTGGCGTCTCTCATAATCATATCGTGGTTTTGCAACATATAGCCACATATATTATTATTATTATTATTATTATTATTATTATTATTATTATTATTATTATTATTATTATTATTATTATTAGTGTTGCTGTTATTGTTGTTGTTGATAGCTACGAGCTGCATCGATGTCTTTGTGTAAATCTAACAGTTACGCGCATATTGCGCGCTCACCAGGTGCGCCAAGTACGCTGGTGTGTAAAGTGTAGCTCATGGTCAGACGCAGTGCCGGCCTTCTGGTCAGGGCATAGATGTCACTTTGACGCCAGGAAGTGCACGATATGGTGCGATAATGTGCACATCCTAAGTAGCTGCGGCGTTTCGTTGGCCTATATTCTGCAGTTAGGCACTATGTATATTTCTTATCGAATTAAACTATCGTGTTTTCTCGCGTAGTGTCAGCTGTGATGAACGCGGGCTAATAGTGTCTGGTTGGGGTTAGGTAAGGATGACTACTGACTTTTATAACAGCAGCTTCGTCTTTGTGAAATATAAATTCAATGACTGAGTTACTTTGCTAATGTTCTTCTCAACACGATACCAAAAAAAATCTTTAAATCAATGTTCAGTTTTTCTCAGAGGGTACAAAAGTAATAATATCTGAGGTTTTACGTACCAAAACAACGTTGTGATAACCAGACAGGCCGTAGCAGAGGGTTCTGAATATTTAGACCACCTGTAGTTATTTAAAGTGCGCTGTTATCGCACTGTATACTGGCCTCCATCTTGAATTTCGCCTCCATCCAAATGTGAGCGCCGCGGCCGGGATGGAAACCGCAACTCTTGAGTCAGAAGCCGAGAACCATAGCTGTTGTTCCTCCGAGAAGGAATTAGCCGGCATAATTCGGTTTAACATCTCAATCACCATAACTTATCTTCAAATCAGCTCTGTGGTTTTCCCGAGGGAAAAATGAGTCTCTCATAGTCGGTAAATTGGAGTGTGTCCTACGCCACTAAGAGCTTTCGCGGCTTTTAAACATAAGCTGGTCAACCAATTCCTTTACCACAAACAATTCTAGTCTTTGTCACTTCTGACAACTGCATTCGCGAAAGCAATAAAATCAATGTAGCGCCGACTACGCCAACTCACCTGCATGCTGCGCGTGCAACAACTCAGGTGGAGAAACTGCGAGAACTGGCGGACAACTGGTCGTTGTACATGCCCCCGGAGCCACCCCAGCAAGTCCTGCAAGTGGTGAGCGACTCAAATCAATCACAGAGCAGTTCAGCACAGCCTACGTTACGCTATATGAATGCCCTACACAACTGAATATCCATGGAGATGTTTTGGGCATTTTGGGCAGTTCAACTCACGCGCCTCGAAGCCTTTGAATTTGTTAGCGTATAGACGTACATGTATACGAGCGCGCATATATATATATATATATATATATATATATATATATATATATATATATATATATATATATATATATATATAAACGAGCTACATAAATTGATGTTAAGCCCCTTTTCTCCCTCTACCTTACTTCCCACTCAAGAAAAAAATTTGTTCCTGGTTTGCAGAAATCTTTCTTTGTGCGTTGATGTGGGTGCAGGGGTTCAATCAAGTTTTGAGAATGTGTTTGTGCTTTTTATGTTCCTTATTCTTGCATATATACACATACGAATTTGAAAAAAAATTTTTAGAAAATTTAGGTGGCGAGAGATGGGTTACAACATGGCTGTCTACGCCAGTGGTCTGAACTGAATGGGTGGACTGGACAGATTCGGACAACTCGGAAAGAACAAATTTAGGTGTTGTTCTTTCCGCAGATGCGCGGCTGTCGAATATCTTAAACCAGAACGCCTTTCGTTGCTCTTAAAAAGTAACGGAAATGTGTCCATCATCAAGAAAATATTGACGACGTATGTTGAGCAGGGTTGACTTATCATTCAATAGAATTCCGCATGATTCAGATTTTAATTTCGTACGATTACGCTGTTTGTAGCAACTCAGGTGAACCAAATAGTCATAGAAGCTATTTCTATATTCGTGCATTGACCACTTTCGATGATTAATGAATAAGTAATGAATGTATATTGCAGGGTGACGTGGTGCCGGAGCTGATGTCAGAGGCCATGACTTACTACGAGCCAAAACTGCAAATGGACTCACCAGTACGTTAACTGCAACAGACGGCGTAAATATAAGTTATGGCTGTGTTCTATTACGATGGCCACCTGAACAATCGATTGACTAAAACGTTCCCTTCGTTGACAACTTCCAACCTTAAAACGTAATCACGCCAATAATTATATCTTACCGTTTCTGAATACACAATTCTTCTCGTGATCTGCTGAATACTAAGATGGACTTACAGCGGGTAATTGTTGAAATCTTGATTGATATGTGGGGTTTAACGTCCCAAAACCACTATATGATTATGAGAGACACCGTAGTGGAGGGCTCCGGAAATTCAGACCACCAGGGGTTCTTTAACGTGCACCTAAATCTGAGCACACGGGCCTACAACATTTCCGCCTCCATCGGAAATGCAGCCGCCGCAGCCGGGATTCGAACCCGCGCCCTGCGGGTCAGCAGCCGAGTGCCTTAGCCACTAGACCACCGCGGCGGGGCAATTGTTGAAATCTAGTGACATTGTAGAACAGTGTTTATTTTACTTCTTCAAAAGTTCAAAACAGTGAAAAAAATTAATTTAATATGTAATGAAGAAGTAGTGGGCTATGCAAAGCTCGGCAAACACATCGTCAGTGCTAAGCACGAGATGCTCGGCCCGGACGTTGTTGCTGCTTTCGCTGGCTAGGCCTACGCTCCTACCTGGTCTCAAATAACAGTTCTGGCTGTCTCAGTTTTTTTTTTTATATTTGGTTAAGGTGCTGTAGCAACAATGTCTGGGCCGAGCGTTTCGTGCTTAGCACTGACGATGTGTTCGCCGAGCTTTGCATGACCCACTACTTCTTCATTACACATTGTACTTGTCAAGTTCCGGATCCCGCTCATTTTGTTGTCTTCTTTCTTTTGTATAAATAAATAGATTTAGGCTAGATTGGTGTCCACGTGCAGCGCCAGCTACTCCTCTTACGTGATACCCGATGTCAAAAAGTTGACAACAGTCTACCGCGGTGGTCTAGTGGCTAAGGTAATCGGCTGCTGACCCACAGATCGCGGGATCGAATCCAGGCTGCGGCGGCTGCATTTACGATGAAGGCGGAAATGCTGTAGGCCCGTGTGCTCAGATTTGGGTGCACGTTAAAGAACCACAGGTGGTTGAAATATCCGAAACCCTGCACTACGGTGTCTCTCATAATTACAGGGTGGTTTTGGGACGCTAAACCCCACATATCAATCAATCAGAAAGTTGACAAGAATCAAATAAAATATAGAAGTGCAAATTCGAACGCGCGCATCACATTCTCGTGCTCTCTATTAAAACGCAAATGTTCGCGAAACCCGTGAGTTCACGCAATATAAATGCTAACAGAAACGAACTGTTCATGGAACAAATACAAGGCACTTTAAGACCATGGTATTTCTTGATCGCAGTGCTCTAAATACGACAGTCGAATACGACTCGGGCACAAGTGCTACCTTTAAGCACGAAAACGCAAACACTCCAGCCCGTAGCAAGGCATACCTGCTATTTCAGAGGTAATATTTCTTCGAGGTCCGAACTAAGTCTATATGAAGCAGTTTTAGTGGCATGGCGAAATTGGTGGCAAGCAAAGCGCCTGAATTCGGCTGATTGTGGCTGACTACATGTGTCTATTTGTTTCTGTCATATTTAGAAAAAAATTCGATTCCGCTCTATTGAGAGCATGCATGGGTGTCTTAGTTGAGCAATGAACTTTCTAAGTGTGATTTAATTATAATCTACGCTTAGCGATTAACGTTGTGTTGTAGTACGCAGCCTATCTTCTTTATATATTCGTTTTTTACTCAGGTATTTCCAGATGTAGATCTACGTAAGGTAGGTGTTATCGAATGCCATTGGATCAGTTTGTATGATGCTTTAATCTGCTACGAAAAATGTTTATCGGCTGATCGTGAAAATATTTACTACCATGTTTACAGGCGAAGCCGCTGTGTCAACGGCTGCCCGAGGTGATGGCTCCGGGTCGCGTGGTTATCGTCTCCGGCGTGGTGGAACCGAAACCTTACAGGTATGCTTAACACTTTTGCTCTTGGCTGTAACTTATTAAACCTCTGTCGCTTTTCCTCTTCGAACAAAAAACTGCCATTTTACGGTACTATTTTATGAATATTCGAAAAACCACAAGTAATTGATCGGAAGTGCTTGAGAGGGAAGTAAGAATATCCCTATTGTTGCTCGAGCCACCCCCCTCCAAAAAATAATACTGCCACCAATGTTAAAGAGCCAAATTATTTATGTAATTGAAAAGAAAAGCAACGTAAAAGATATCCGTGGAACGATTTACGTTTTCTGCCCCAGTTTCCCACTAGGCTGTAGACCATTTAATAAATGAAACTTTGAATAAAACTTTTCTCGCACTCTTTCATGCCTAACATACGGCCTATACACAAGACAAAGGCCCAACTTGTTACGTGTTTGTGAGAACAAGAGGCGCATGCGGATCTTTAAATTTCGTAAAACTATCTTTGAATTCCCAATGTGGTGGGTGTCTTGTTTTCCCGTCGTGAAGAAATCATTGAAGTCACGGCGAAACTGAAAACCGTCGCAGGTTCCACGTGAACCTGCAGACCGACGTGGGTGACACGGCGGACATGGGACTGCACCTGAACCCGCGTTTCGACACCAAGCCACGAGGAGTGGTGCTCAACTCCAGGGATCGGGACCAGTGGCAGCAGGAGGTGCAAGTTCCCGGTAACAAGTTCCCCTTCACCGAAGGGTCCCCGTTCGAGATTCAGGTACGTTTTTTTCTCGCTATAGCACTTGTATGAATAGCAGAGGCGAATTTTCGCCGTCGCCGTCACCGTTGCCGTCACGTTCCGTGTAAAGTCCAGACAGATAACGTTGCCCTGTGTTATGTGCACGATGATGTGATATTCTACGTGCGAGCTAAAGCTTTCGAAGTTTGCTGATGAGCACTGCTTAAGCCCGGATTCCTTGTACGGGTCGCTATCGTATGACGAATAAGCAAAATGCTATAAATTCATGTGCTGTGATTTAGGCGCATGTTAAAAAAATTACGGTAAATGAAATTTCTGGAGCCCTGCACTAAGGCATTTCTCGTAATGATATCACATAATTGGGACGTAAAGGCATGGTTTTCTGGGCAGAGATTTCATTTACTCTTAGGTCGTAACCCACTAAAGAGTTATCTGTGGTAGACTAAAGGACAATTATACCTCTTTTTTATTGCCGCCAAAGTGAGAACGTGGTGACAAAAAGCCAAACTTCAAAACACTAACCCAGCGCAATTTTCCAGCTTCATTGCACCACTCGTCTCGTTTACAAGCTTGGTTTTTGGGACGTTAAACCCCACATATCAATAAATCAATCATCAATTGTTTACAGGCTACAACTTCATGTCGCAAGGTCTTTGAGAGGCTAATACACATCAGTTGCACTTGACCTATTCGCAGATTCACTGCCAAGAGGACAAGTTCCGGGTGCTGGTCAACGGCACCTTCCTTGCCGACTTTCCGCATCGCATCGACTGTTCGCGCATCGACTATGTCTGTGTCGACGGCTCGGTCATCCTCGACCGCATTGTCTTTGCCTGAGCACAACAATTGCGCGTACACAAAACGCGACTTTACAAATCTATGTTGAAACATCTTAGGGTTAGATAAACGCCTTTGAGGACTTGCCGTATAGCGTAGCATTACTTAGAAGCGTGGCAGTTTGACTTAGCTGGTATGACATGACAATTTTCATAGCGCGAGCCCGGAACACCGACAAAGGGACAAGAAGGAGACGATCGCTCGTCTTCTTTTTGTCCCTTTGTCGTCGTTCCGAGCTAGCGCTATAAAAATTGTAGCGTTACGCTACGACGTGCAGTTCTATCAGACCTAAACGAATGAACAGCCTGGTTTCGGTAACTGGCTTTATATACTGGTCTTCGTCAAAAGTATGCGGCCTACTTTACTTGAGAGTACCAGTCTTACTGCGTGACTCTTAAGAAAAAATCTTGCTTTAAGTGCGGCATTCGCTGTGGCATTAAGGAGAATGAAAGGAACTCTAGTTTGGCCCGCAGATGTTGTGTTTTTTCATGGCACGAACAAGCGTTGTGTTTCTATAGAGATCAACAGCCTTTCCGAAGGACTGAGCTTAAAGCCGCCGGTTTTAAAATACAACGCACTTCGGCGATTGCGAGAAGACGGATGCTAAGTGACCGCATAATAGAGTTCGTCGAGCAGGCCTGGTTATCTCTTCACATAGAAGGGTTAGGCGGAGAACTATACAGTTTTCAACGCTCAATGTAGCATATAGGCCCTCATGCACAGCTCGCTATATCCGCCCTGTCAAATTGCCTGGAATCGACCATAGTGTGCCCGCATATATGTTGAGCACTGAATGCGCAACGAACGTGATCCCACAAGGAAGAATAAAAAGAAAGATAAGCTATACACACATGATGGCATGATTGTCACCGTAACCAAACGCATGGCGTACGGTGGTGCTAACGTTTGTTAAGAGCTGGAAATCGCTGAAAGGGTCCGGTAAAGGCGTGTTCAGAACGAATATTCGCGCAGTCTGGGCAGTAGCTAAAAAGCCCAAGTTGCTAGCTTTAATTATGGTTGTGGTACACTTACAAGAAAAAGCACGCAAATACCCATAAATCCATCTTAAGTGTTACCCTGTCATAAATGATATAACTCTGCAATTTTTCAAGGTGTTGTGCGCCCACGTCGCTTTCGTACTGACTGTAACGTCTGCATTTTCCTGCCATGTGATTTGCGCCGTAAACAAGTGCAGAGGTCAATCAACTTGGCGTCGCAACCATGCACATAATATATTATGTCTTATTCACAGATAGCATGTTAAGCATATTTGGTAGTTAAAAAAACATAGTGTGTGGAGAAATACGAGAGCTTCGGTGGCCATTAACTAATCAGTTGTTTTGCTACCCGCTGCACTGTTTGCAATGGGATAGCGGTGTGGGTAGATGTAGTGACGTAGATAGCTATAGCTGAAGTATGGGTATAACATAGCGTTTCGGAAATGCTTTGTGAATGCTGCATTTTTCGTAGCGTACACATCTGTACTTACAACGTGATTTTGGTTAAACGTAACCTACACTTCATGTTTTTCATTGTCTATTCACGACAAGGACGTGTTTCAGGTGCAGCCGTCAGGTCGAACTTTACTAACAGTGATCGCGTTACGTTACGCGTTATTGTACACGTGAAATAAACACGCAAGTGCCTTGTGTGTAGAGATTAACATAACCTGCGTCAGCTTATGTGCATGTAAAGAAAAAAGTGCAATAAAATTATTTTTCGCTCGTTTCGGAGATTGTATACTCTTGTTTTTGCTTGGACAATACGAATACATGGATGACTTTGGGAGCCAGCAAATACTTACCGATCAAGCCTGGTAAGCCGAAGACATTAGTAGAGCTTAAGACTGAGAAACCCATAACCACCATCCAAATTCTGCCTCCCATCGAACAAACAGTTTTTGTATAGTTCAACTCATTTACAATGAACACTAGTATTGTGAATATTGGTTTTAGTCAAAAGAATACAATCTTTTGTTCGTTGAACTTTATTTCTACATTTGTTTTTTTATAACGAAACGAAAAGCATAAGAACCATTACAATAAAGCAAAAGGCGGATTGCAAGAGATTTCCTAACCACATCTTTAAAATGCGGATGTTGCAATAAGAGTCTGGTTATGGAAGTTGAATCAACGCTGACCATCCAGAGCAAAAAAAAAAAGCAAGGAAAATAAAAATAAAAGTCGCAGCTTGATATCCGGCAAAGAGATCAGTAAGGATTACCTATTGTATTGTATAGACCATTTCACTGTTTAAAAACACAGGCCTCTGACGACATACAGTTTCGTCCACCGATGTGCCGTAATAGCATCGGTGAGCAAGGAGAACGTTAAAAAATAATTCACCAATTTTATACACTTTACTTCGCTTATTTGGAAAAATATATTCAAACGAAGGTCCTTTTGAGCTACGTAAAACCTACAAGAGATCGACGTGACCATTACGCAGGTTCTTTTTGTCTAAAAAACTAATGAGAGACTTTCCTTACCCTTGAAGAACTGTAAAATATCCTTTCAGTTTCTATCTTAGGAGCTGGTAAATGTGGTAACCAGAAGTTTTTTTTTCTTTTGGCACAACTCTTGCAATCTTGAAACCGTATGTAGAGAGTCTAAATACTAGCATAGACTTTCCCTAAAACTAACTAGAGGGGACTCTGGCACTGCAGTTGTTCAGCAACCATGGGAATTTCGGGTATGGCTTGTAATCGTCTAGTCTTCGTGCTTGCGGCAGGCGAATAGCACTTGTGGCTTCGTTTATTGCTGTGTTTCGGTTTTGTTTCAAATGAAAGAGCAAACCGTGTTGAACTTCATAGGCTGATTTGAATTGGCGATCCTAAAAGGTGAAGGTGGCGAAGTGCAACTGCCAAACATTTGCCAACAATTGTTTCGTGACAAAGCAGCTTCAAGCCAAGCGAAGCCAGAGGAAGCGTAAAGTACGAAGACTAGGCAAATCCAATGCATACCTACAATTCCTCTGCTCACCGAAGCTCCCATAGACACTAGCACGACAGTTCCCTCTGGTGTATATTAGAGAAACTCTGAATCCTAGAACTTCCGAGAGAATAGTTCCAGTATAGGGTTAGTGTTCCGGCCTCCACCTTCCTTTGTCTCAATAAGGTCACAAAATAAGGTTTTGTCTCTCTTACCGCCCTCACTCTCTGCCACCCGAAAACAGTCATTGTAAAAGAAACGTGAAGCAATAAAACTGAAATGTGGGTAGCTTATGGTCGCTCACAGTTGACAATGTACAATGCCACAAAATGAGGCGGACTAAGAGTAGGACCGTTTAAAGCACATCCCTGAAAAGGGAAGAAATGGTAGAACAAGAAAGATAAGGTGTTTAACCAGCGCGGAATAACTGGTTATCTAACCGACACGGGGGAACAAGAGGGTGGAAATTGAAAGAGTGAGGGGAAAGAGAAAGAAAGATCGCACATCACACACAACAGCCACAAAAGAATGCACACATACTCTCTGGGGGTCGTACTCTTGTGCACAGTGGTCTAGCGCGTATGGTGCTAGTCTGCTGACCCGAAGGTCTCGAGATTGAATCCCCGCCACAGCGGCCGCATTTTCGATGGAGGCAAAAATGCTGATGCCCATGAGCTTAGATTTAGGCGCATGTTAAAAAGAAGCCCACAGGGTCAAAATTTCTGCAGTCCCCCACTACGACGCGTCTCATAATCATATGGTAGTTTCATTATGTCAAACTCCAACAAATAATAAAGACGATCATCTTTGTTAGCATACTTCAATGCACCGATATCTATCTATCTATCTATCTATCTATCTATCTATCTATCTATCTATCTATCTATCTATCTATCTATCTATCTATCTATCTATCTATCTATCTATCTATCTATCTATCTATCTATCTATCTATCTATCTGTCTTTTTGTCTGTCTGTCACACCCACATAAAAAAGGGAGTTTTATATGTCAACTTATGTTGTTTATTTCTCCCTTTGTCTACAGATTTTCAATCTGAGATTCATAAATTATTTTCATAGCGCCACCCTGCCAAAGTTTAAGCATTTGTTGAACGCCAAGCTATCTTTGACTGGTGGCCGCGTTCATACTTTGCAACATTGTCGATCAAAAAGCAAATGCTACGCGCATCTGAGGCGCAACATGAATACGTGAGCATTAGGTGGTGCATTCCTTCACTTGAAAATACATAGATACGTTATTCTAAAGGCCCCAGTGTTTCTTAAGCTGCGCTGAAAATGCAACGCTATGCACAAAATAATACCGGCAGGAGACTATCGTCTTTAGACGACATTTGCAGCAAAGCGCGCTGATTCGCGGCCAATTTTATTATCTGGGTGCTCATTGCGTGACGCCCCTAGTTTTTTCAGCGTTCTTGATTGACGAATTGCGAAGCAGTAAAGATATTAGAACAATATTATTCACGCCAGTATTACCAGACCATCTTGAATAAAGAGGGCTTCGTTCGCTCAACCAGAATGAGTATGGCGAAGCCCCTCAGCTGAGAACCGTACCGACCTTGAAATTGCCCCGTGGCGTCCATGAAAACCGAGCGACGCTTCTGTACACGGTGCAGCTGCCCACTTTCTGCGAGTCAATTATGAATGCTGAGCGAAAGGACGTTCTCGAATGCGAGTTTAAGTGGTTCTTGTGTGGCCCATGAATCTCGTTTATGTGGTGCGGGATGTAGAGAGGCTTCACAATAAAGAAAGTATTATGTTATGGAGTGATAAAAAAGGCACTCAAGAGGAGAAAATTTTAGGGCTTGTTTTTTTTTCTTTTTGCAAGACAACGTTTTTCAAGGCACTCAGAAACAGCGCACTCTTATAATAGGTAATGAAAATATTAAATGAACGTGCCGAATTAAACACCAAACAAATAACGAGGCCCGAAAAATTGTCCGGCACGTACTTGTTTTTGAGAATTTTGCCTCTCCGTCCTGTGATAGAGGTGCTGACAAGCCGGTCGGTGGGCAGTCAAGTAATGGTCCTAAAACAAACAAACAAACAAACAAACAAACAAACAAACAAACAAACAAAGAAAATAGCTCTGCGGACGGGTATGCGCTAACGTATGCGAGAAGAACATTTGATATTATGTTACCTTTGAGCACCACAAAACTACAAACAAATATGAAAGTTTGTCAGCGCTCTTGACTATAGCTGCATTTATACGGACGGCACATTCAAATTAAGTACATCGACTCTATGACAATAATTTATGAAGCACTGATGAAAAATCAGTAGACAAAGGGAGAAATAAACTACATAGTTGACATATAAGACTCCCTTTTTTATGTGGGTGGAGCCCCTCGTCTGATATTCATTATACAGTAGCAAAGTCACTCGGTCAAAAAGCGCTTCAGCAATGACGGCGCATAAATTTGAATAGACAAAATCGTGTTTTATTCATGCAAAGAATATTACGACCCATTACTTCCTGAGAAGCAAGCCACCAAAGTTTTAAAACGTGGATCTACCCGCTTCACCATATCGCGACGTATTAAGGCGAACACCTTGGGTGCTTTGTTAAAACGTAAATTGGCCGTTGGAGGCATCAGCCCGAATGATGAAAAAAATCATAATCACGTCACCGTATGACCTCATCATGACGTCACTATGGCCTGAAAAACGAGTGCGTAACGTGGACGTATAACTATATTTGTTGGAATTTAACGTCTCAAAACCTCGATATCGTCACGAGAGACGCTGTGTTGGTAGGGCTCCGGAAATTTCGACTACCTAGGGTTCTTTACCCCGGAGTTCTTTTAGCATTTTCGCCGGCATCCAAAATGCCGCCGTAGTGGCCGGGATTCGATCCGGCAACCTGCGGGTTAGCAGCCGAGTGCTTTGGCCCCTTATATTACCCAGCATTTTATATTATTTATTCCATTGTTTTTTATCCGTCAATATCGTTCAAATTATGTACTAAATTTAAAGCTACGAAATCTTAGCTAAGCCTCTAGATTGCATATGTGCGATATTGCGTCAGGCTTAAACAAAACAAACGAAATTCTAAAGAGTGTTCGGCGAAACCCTGTGGCAGTGTCAGCTGCCCTGAGCCGCTTCCCGTGGAATCATAACCGGGCCGCGCCATGCGACTAACTTGAATGCGGCAACGAGACGTCTGACGAAAGAATGCTGCTGGGCACACCACTGATTCATGACGTGACTGCCAATAGAGTGCGAGGGGAAGACGCTGCCGCTGGCACCGTAAGTAAAGCATAGAAAACAAAGAGAGGGAGAGGTATAAATAGAGAGAGAGAGAAAGACTAATAGAAATAGAAATGCAAGAAAGAGAATGGAGTAGAGAAAGAATAAAAAAGAGAAAGAAACAGGTAAAGATACAAGTAAATAGAAATAAGCAGAGACAAAACAGAGAAGGAAAGAACAGAGGGATCAGAGAAATGAAGAGGAGAAGAAAGGAAAAGAGAGAGAAACAAAGAAGGCCTCCTAGCTGCGCCCTTCCTCCAGGCTTGGTATCTTTATAGTACAAAACTGCCTGGATTTTTCGCCGTGGATGGGATGTAAGCACGCTTGTGGTGCTCTATTGAACTTAGTTTCAAGCTGTTCCTGAGACACCAAATATTTGTGATGCGGAGCTGTACCGGCGAAGTTTGATAGGGCGCGACCGTATAGAAGATTGGACTGTGATAGGGAAGCGCGGATATGTCGTGTTTTCTGTATGTGTTGGTGTAGGGAAAGGTTATATGCATACGCATGCAGAATTATATGGAAATTATAC